CATCTTGGGTAAAGAGTAGGTATGTGTCTTCCAGTTTGAAAGGCTTTGGCGGCGGCAGGAATCCGCGATAGTGCGTGGTTCCTGCTGCACTCGCCACTGGCGTGCCCACGATCCAGCCGGATTTGGGGGTTAATAGTCACCCTGTAGAGGTGACTGAAGATAGAGGAGGCCCAGCAGGGGTTCGGGGGGATTGCAACTCCCCTCCTCAGCTGGCTGAACTCCTTTTTCCAAAAGTGGTGGAGTGGCGGTCAGCAATGGCCGCCACAAAAAAACTTTCACCCAGACAAGACTGTGCAGGAGGAAGCAGAGAAAGTGAAAGTTTTTGGCTGAACTGGGATAACAAGTAACATCTAAATACCCTGGAAATTCAACTCTTTTAAGATACATTGTTCCCTAAGAAGATCGTAAAAGAGCGGCAGAAGAAAGTTAAAAGGGAAAGTTTTTTTTCTTCTTACTCTCCTTCCCTATGGAAATAGCAGAAGGAAATCGGGAAAACCCGTCTTGGCAACAGAAGGTAATTAAATTTGAAAAATAAAACCAAGGGGGTATTAAAGATTTCTGAACACTGGAATTAAAGATTTAAAAATTCTTTTTTTTTTTTGCTATAAGTGGGAAGGGAGAGATAAAGAACTTATATTAAGACTTTGCTGGAGGAGATTGCTTGGAGCTTATAAGACTAGAGATAAACTGTAATAAGATTTCAATAAATACATTTTGGAACTTTGCAATTGATTCTACCCCAAGAAGAGAAAGTACAAAAAGAAGAAGGTGCTAAATGAAACAGTTTGTGTTGATTAGGGTTGCTTGGTGACTTTGGGACTTTTGGAAACTATTTTTTGAAAGACTAATAACTTTTGAGTTGTTTAAAAAACTCCACAATGGCATTATCTGTTGAAGAATTGAAAATGGAATTTCAAAAGTTAAGAGAAGAGTAACAAGAAGGGAAGGGCTCTTCTGGATCTGTTTTCCACTTTTTGGAAATGGCGATTTCTACCTACCAGGAATTACAACAAGAAAGCTGGGATGAAGAAGAAGAAGCCATCTTTAATGACCAAATAACTTTAGTTGAGGAAGAAAAGGGAAAGAAGGGAAAGAGAATGGAGAATTCAAGACTTAAAAAAACAATCAAAAAAAGGGAAAATAAGGTGAAAAATCGATACAATGTCAGAAAGCAACAGAAAAGAGGAATAAAACAGAGAGGGGAGATTAAGAGGGTGGAGATTAAGAGATGGGGGGGGGGGGGAAAAAGGCTAGATTGGACAAGAAAGGAAAGGAAAAAGGGAAGAGAAGTCACAAAGGCTTGATACAAGATGTAAAAAACAGATCTTTTTCAGAGACAAAGGGTAAAATATAAATTAAAAAGCGATTCTGCAAGAGCACATAAGATTGTATTGTAGTATTGTATTTGAAATAGAGTTAGAAAATTGGAATATTATATGATTTAATAAAATATTAAAGGGAATATGTAAAATGTTTAAGATTTAATGATAGAGTTTAATTTGCTTTGGATTATTGTTTCAACTATATTATAAACATATTAGTTTCTTATTTTAAAATGTATGTAGAATGTACTAAGCAGAATCAGAATGGAAATTATATATTATTTTAAGTGTTAAATCTAGGGGAAAGATAGACCCCAGGAAGAGAAAGTTTAAAAAGAAGAAAGGCTAAATGAAATAGTTTGTGTTTACAGAAGAGAGTGACGACCAAGAGGGTGGAGATTAAGAGATGGGGGGGGGTGTAAAAAGACTAGGATTACAAAAGAGATTCTGCAAAAGTACATAAGATTGTATTTTTGTATCTTTATTTGAAATAATGTTAGAAAATTGGATTTTTATATGATTTAACAAAATACTAAAATGCATAAATGATAAAGTTTAATATACTATGGATTATTGTTTTAACTATATTATAAATTTATTATTTTCTTATCTTAAAATGTAGTAGGTAGTTTTAGAATGTGCTAAGCAGAATCAGAATGAGAATTATATATTATTTTAAGTGTTAATTTAGGGGAAGATATAAAAGCGTCATACTTCAATTGGTGATTACAGGAGAAATATTGTGTTAATAAGAAAAGAAAAATAGATGATTACATAACGGACAAAAGATATCAGTATAATGATTTAAATTGAGATGACATAAATAAAATAGAATTAAGAGAGTGAAAAGAGGGGAGAAGCCATACAGAAAATATAGAATGGTAAATAAGATATGAAATGGTATATAAAGTGAGCATGAATTTGATTTATGTCTGTACCAAAAGATGTAACCCAGGACTAGGCCACTTTCCAAAAAGAAGTTTTATGTTTTTATGTTTTGTGTTTTGTTTGTGTATGTTTGTTTATTGAAAATTAATAAAATTCCTTAAAAAAAAAAAGAGTAGGAATGTCCAAGCTGATGGCCTTGTTAGCAAGGTTCCATGCAGAAAATCCAACCAAGCCTGGGGGGGGGGGCAGAGTTCGCAACCCTAAATTCTATATCTGCAATCAGTTTGTTCTTGTTTTTTGGTGTTGTATAGGTCACCTTCAAGAAGCGAGGGGAGCCGAATGTCAACTCATAAAACATTTATATGGCTGTTTTATAGTTGCCAACAGAAAGGGGTGGGGGGGAAAGGAGTTTGAAAGAGCAGTGCAGCAGTTTGGAATTGAATTGATAACTCTTGGCTATGGACGTGTTTTGTTGGAGAATATGAATTATGATGCACCCAGAGGGGTGGGGGGAAACCAGGGTCAAGGGTGACAGTGAATTACGTGTCTCAGAATTGGCTTCAAACAGGTCCTGCTGACATGTTCGCTCCTAATAAATTCATTATAGGTTTTGAAGTTTGGCTCGAGGCTCATGATTTAATTAGGGCAACTGCCAGAATCCTGACAACTAATCAAGGAGAGAAGCAACTTAGAACTAAGAAGAAATTTCCTGATGGTTAGAAAAATTAGTCAGTGGAACAACTTGCCTCCAGAAGTTGTGAATGCTCCAAGACTGGAAGTTTTTAAAAACAACAATTTGTCTGAAATGGTATAGGGTCTCCTGCTTGAGCAGGGGGTTGGATTAGAAGACTTCCAAGGTTCCTTCCAATACTGTTATTCTATTCCAGGGGTGTCAAACTCACGGCCCGCGGGCCAGATGCATCATGTGCTGGCCACATCCACGCCTGTTTTAGCAAAGGGGGGGGAAGTTGTGATATGTCACGTGATGACACCAAGGCGATGTGAGTGTCAGATCCGTGTATCTGTCATTTCTTCAGTGGAAGAAGAAAAGGGGGGGAGGCTGATAAAGAAATCCTTTCTTGATGTAACCTGAATATATTTAACCTTATATCGAATTTGTATAACCCACACATGATACAATGGAGGGAGAAAAGCCAGATGGCCAGAACCTATCACCTCTGAGAGGCACAGCCAGGAGATGAGAAGATCATAAAAATTCCACAGTGAGATGTGTCCTGGGAATCTCTAGAAAAGTTCGTTCTAAAAAGGGGGTGGGGAGAAATTAGGTATGCCCTGGGAAACTGTGAAAAAGATCGTTCCTTACAAAAGGGGTGGGGAGGAATTAACATATTGGCTTTTGTTTCACTAAATACACATCGAGATAAGGGGAGGGGTTGTAAATTTCCCTTATGTATCCCTGTATGCCTGAGAGACCTCAGACGCGGCTTTGAACTCCTACATGAATTGTCTCATCTCAATAAAGGATTCCTTCTTGATACGTTTTGATACATTTTCAGAAGTTCATTTTAGTTGAGTGAATGGGAAAAGTTCTGTAGCCTGACAGCGAGTTTGACCTATTCTATTCTATTCTATTCTATTCTATTCTATTCTATTCTATTCT